CACACACTCTCTCTCTCTCTGTGTGTCTCCCTCTCTCCCTTTCTGTCCCCCACTTGCTTTGGAGTCCTGAGTCATCACCCTTGTAAGACGCCTGGCTATAAAACAACCACCATATCAGGGAGATCACATGGAGACAGAGACACCTGAGGAGCTGCAGCTGCTCCGGCACCTAGCTGTTGCGTCTCCCAGCCCAGGCATCAGATCTGGAGAGTGAGTCTTCAGGTGACTCCAGTCGCAGTCACCGCCTGACTGCCACCTCAAGAGAGACCCTGTGGGAGAGCTGCCTAGTGAGTCCAGTCAACTCCTGGACCCATGACAGAAAGCAGTATATGATTGTTGTTGTTTGAAACCATTGCATTTTGAGGTGATCTCTTATGCAGTGATAGGTAACTGGAGCAGGAGTCAGGCAGGACATATGGGAGCAGATGGTCTAGGTAGGTACATAAGAGGGAGAAAGAGTAGAAAATAGAGAGTCCCCCAAGAGGGTTGGAGAGTTTTCTGGATGGAGAAGTAGAGTATGATTGCAATAAGGAATTCCCCCACCCACCACACCCCAGCAAAAGAAACCCTCACCTTTCTGTATTGAATCGGCATACATGCCCCTAACAGTCTATTATATATTCTTTGCATAGCTGTTATCTGGCTACGATGGATTATTTTCAGCAGAATTCTTGGCAAAAGGAAATTTATCTTCAGATGAGACTATTTGAGGCCTGGGGAACACTTGCATTTTTATAGTAAGTTAAGAAGGATTTGCTGCTCTCCTGACTTCACTCTTTTACCCAACTAACCAATCAGTCAGAAAGGTCCCTGGGCACCCCCTGGGCTACAACATGCCAGCCCTGAGAGGACCACAGCCCCATACACTCAGCTGTTCCTCCAAGCAACTTTCAAGATCACAGGGCAGGAAAAAGCCAAGTTGCCTGAGTTTAAAAGGAAATGTTGGGATCTGCATTTCTAAGAGAAAGAGTAGCTTGAGCCAAAATGTGTGAGCGAGGGGCTTTCTGTGATGGCTGGGAGCCTGCAGCCGGGGTCTGGGAGAAACCAGAGGGGATGGCTGCCTGGCTGAAGAAAACTGAGAAAGGGCATGGAAGAAGTAAGCAGTGGGGGGGCGATTGCTGGAAACCCTTGCCCTCAAATTCATTGACTTTTTGCCATGTTTATATCACACTGAACTGTTTGGTAACTAGAGATGTGTTGTGTATGTCTCTCTAGAGAATAACCAAGCACTGTGAATAAGAGAAGTTGCTGAAATGCTATTCATTTTATAGACAGAGTCTCTGCTAGGAATTTCCCAAATAGATTTATTAACAAATATCCCCTATTTGTGAATTTTGAAATATTTTAAATTTTAGTTTAATCTCTGTAAAGTACAAATGCCATGAATATCAGTTTCATTATGTCACCAAAACATTTAAGTACTAAGATGTAAACCACTTGCTTTTTTTAAAAAAAGGAGAGAATTATCATTTGCTTCCTATCATTTTAGCCCAACAGACTTAGTTTTCAAATTAAAAGAATAAAAGGATATAAAGTTGTCTTACATAAATTAGGAACTCAACAGCTATTATGCATCACAACAGTCACCAAAGACCGTAGGACCCTCCAACTTATTTGACCTTATACCTTATCCTCTTGTTTTCTGTAAGCCACAGACTGACATACTTTTTCTGTAAAGGGCCAGTTAGCAAATGGTTTAAGCTTTGCAGGCCATCGGGGTCTCTGTCACACTACTCAACTCCTTGAATAGTTTCCCATCGTAGTGCAAAAGCACTTATCAACAATACGTAAACAAATATTCAAACAATAAAGCTATTTGTAAACACTGAAACTTGAATTGAATATAACTTTTACATGTCACAAAATAGTAACTTTGCTTTGATATTTTTCAGTCTTTTAAAAACAATTTAAAAAACAAAACAATCTTAGCTCATGAGCTGTACAGCAGGTAGGATATAGCCCATGGGCTATAGTTTGCCAACCCCAGCCCTAACTTTGGTGAGTTTCGGGGATATACATTATTTATTCTTGGAGTGCAAAGGTACTGGCTGGTTAATCTGTAATTATGATTTTTAATTTTAGTACAGCATTCCAAATTTTTAAATAATCAGATTGTATTAATTTAATAAATAGATTACTTAATAACTGTTTTTTTAGCCATAAAGAAATTTCCTATAGGTTAAGAGCAGAATAATGTTTTTACTTTTAAATTTGCTGAACTACTATTGACATTTTGGGAGATGTTCCCTTCTAATAGTAATTTCCCATCCCTGCATCTATTTCATATGGTGAGAAGCATTGTAGTAATATCCAAGGCTTTGTCAGTACAAAAATTTGGTTTTAAATCCTTGTTCTGTCATGTAAGAGCTCTCTGACTTTCATAAATCACTTGGCCTCATGAACCTCTGATTTGCTAACTGTAAAATGGTTATAAAGTAGGGATGTTGAGTGAAATTAGAATATGCAACACATGTGTTTATGTAAACCATCATCACAGATTATCCAACATTTAGTAAGCATCTAGTATTTGTCTAGCAGGTAAGTAAAAACATCAGGAATACATGGCACTTATCAATTTGTAGTTTGCTTTTTTCATTTAACATTATACCATGAGTGCTTTCTTAGGTCATTCAGTATTATTTTAAAAAACATGATTTGATGATTACATAATATTCCATTTAATGAGTGTACTACAATTAATTCACCCCTTCCCAACATGGGACATGAGATTTTTATTTTTATTTTTTGCCTGGTTGCACAGACTATCTTGGTAAATAGTTTCCCATGTACATGATCACTTCTTTTTTTTTTTTTTTAATTATTTTATTGTTTGTTTGTTTTAAGTTCTGGGGTACATGTACAGGATGTGCTGGTTTGTTACATAGGTAAACGTGTGTCATGGTGGTTTGCTGCACAGATCAACCCATCACCTAGGTATTAAGCCCAGCATGCATTAGCTTTTTTCCCTAATGCTCTCTCCTCCCCCACCCTCCCCCAACAGGCCTCAGTGAGTGTTACTCCCCTCCCTGTGTCCATGTATTCTCATTGTTCGGCTCCCACTTATAAGTGAGAACATGCAATGTTTGGTTTTCTGTTTCTGTGTTAGTTTGCTGAGGATAATGGTTTCCAGCTTCATCAATGTCCCTGCAAAGGACAGGATCTCATTCCTTTTTATGGCTGCATAGTATTCCATGGTGTATGTGTACCACATTTTCTTTATCCAGTCTCATGGTCACTTCTTTAAGAAGAGTTCCTAAAAGTGTAATCTTTAGATCAAAGGATCTGACATATGACTCAATACAGTTGAATATTTTTCCTGTGCTTTTTTGCCTTTTGAATTTCTTATATTGAAAATTATTTTCATGTCTTTTCTTAGAAGAGATATACTATTTCCCCTTTGTACTTGAGTAGGAAGCCATCATATCCAGCCTCACCTTTATTGTGTGTGTGCTGGGCTTGGTCTAGGAAGAACAGAAGAGTCTTCAGCACAGCTTTCAGAGCCACCCAAGCTCCTTAACCTCTCAAAGCCCCAGTTTCTTTATTTCTACCTCATAGGGCTACTTTGAGGCCAAAATAGAATCATGTGTATCTAGCCCTCAGCATGATACTTGAGTGATCAAGAAATGTGGGCTCTCTGTATTACTATCATTCCCATTATGCCACCCCTCAAGGGGCAAAGACAGATGTGGGCATAGGTTTGCATTAAAATAGACATCTGGGTTTCTAGGAAATGAAACCATAAGCAGTTGTTTCCTTTGTAACAGTAGCCCCATGGTTAATGCTTCATTAGAACTTTGACACAAAATGAGCCTAGGAGCCAACATGCAGATCTACAATGTGTCTGATTTAAGTGACAAAATAATTTCAGAAAAAGGCCATTGACATCTTTTTCCGAGTAAGTTTTGGCATACCTAATAACTCACACTTGCATCATACCACTTGCAAATGACTTGAAAAATAGTCTATTATTTGAGCCTCACAGTGGCCCTGGAAGGCAACTGGGGAGGGATTCTAATGCCTATTTTGTAGTCAGAGAAATTGAGTTTCAGAGGACTTTGATGACAGGCACAAGACCCCTCAACTAGTGACTGGAAGAGCCAGCGCTGACAGACTCTCCTTAATTCAACTTAATCAGGCTCCACTACACCCCTAAGCTTCAGCCTTTGGGCTTCATGTCCATCTTTGCATTGCCCAGTTTAAGCAGAAATCCTGCTAAGTCATTTTATTGATAATCCACTCCTCTTGGTATGTGATCACCCTCAATATCTGATCAAATTCCTCATCCCCCACCATCCCCAGGTGAGGTCTGATCACCCTGGCCTGTCTTCAGCAAGAATCCTGTCAGGTCGGTTTAGCCAGAATCCCTTTTACCCTTGATGTTTCCTCTTAGTAATTTTCCATCCACTGACCCACACTCTACTCCTTGGCCAGAAATCTTTACTGGTCTTTGGCTGTATTCAGAATTGAGCCCCTTTCTATACTGAGGTCTCTTTCCACCGATTGCAATAGTCCTGAGAGTATCTTTATCTACTGTCCAAATTTAGTTTTCTTTGACAGCACTCAAGCCCGGGGATTTCCCGTATTTTATTGCTATGAGCCTGCCTACACACTTTCATCCACACAGTCATTCAGACAACACCATATGCTGGAAAAAGCACAAAGTAACTTCAGTAATTCAGTGATTTGTTATGGTTTTAAAGCCAAAAATGTAAGCTGAAGAAATGAGATCCATAGAAACCATGCCCCCAATTCAAACATCTGCTGCTCTTCCCCACAGCACATATTTAATTCTTGTAGGAAGTTGGACAGAGCAAGCATTGATTAATCTGAAATTGTGAAATGCCCCCTTCATTAATGCCAATTATGAAATATCAGGAAGCACTTTCCCCCAGCAAATAACCTAAGTACAGATTCTTCAACATTGCTCTTGCCAGCTGGTTTTAGTTGTTTCCACAAAGATTACAGATAACACTTTTTAAGGTTCTCTGAGCTGTTCTTACCATTTTTAGTCTTCTTCCAGAATGGAATGTAGAGGTCTGGTTGAAGAGAGTAGAGCATGAGAGGTGCCAAGATCAGCTTGAGATGGACCCAATAGCATCAACTAAGAGAAAGAGAAGATATCAAACTTTACATTTCAAAGACGGCAAAATACTGTAGCTTAAAGACATGCTGCGATCATTGCTTTAAAATGCACTTGAAACATCTATTTACAGTATTTACTTCCTCAAAGTTAGGTAGACTGGAGACATATTCCAGAAAACCATTTCTAACGTTACTGAAAGTCTAACTTTATCTTTGAAGAATTGACATTTTAGACTACCACATTTTTTATTTATATTCTAAAAAAAATTTTGTGCATATGATTTCAGTTCCCTCTCCTCTCCTCCCCACTTCCTTATAACAGCACATACATCTACCTACTTAAATTATCTATATGTGTTCCAATGTTTAAAATACCTTTCTTGATGGTATGGAGTGATCCTAATCTCGAGTCTTCTGAGATGAAGTGATGGGTGGCCGGAAGTGTAGAGTCACAAAGACTCCAGGCAGCCAGCCCTGGAGTTTCCAACTACAAAGATCAGGTCGGGGGGCGGGGAGAGGAGAGATTATTTAAGCCACCCCAGATATGGGCTTTGCAAAAGCACCGGGTTCCTCTTATTTCTACCACCACTACTGGGGCAATGTCTTGTCTAAATCCAAACAACCCTATAGACCAAACTTCTTTCATTTTTATAGCAGGGTTTCTCGCCCTCAGCACTATTTACATTTTTGACCAGATAATTCTCTGTTGCACCGTAGGATGTTTGGTAGCATCCTTGCTCTATACCCACTAGATGCCAATAGCACTGCCCCCTTCCAGTTGTGAGAATCACAGATGTCTCTAGACATTGCAAACTATCCCCTAAGGGGCAAAAACACCTCAGATTGAGAACCACTGTTCTATAGATATATTGCAGACATATCTAAATTTACCTTATCCTGTCTTAGACCCAGCTGGAGAGGATGCTGGTTTTTAAGCACTGGCAAAGCTACCAGTTGGTTCATTCATTTTCCTTTAAAAAAGTTCAGCTGCATTCGCTTCTCACAGTGTGGGCCCCAAGAGAATTGTTCCCTTCTTAACTGATTATTGGACATTTTGTAGGTAGAGCCAAAATATGGTAGTTATGTTTAAAGTTCTTTAATCTACTTAGTCCACATGGAGAGAATTTGGATGATGTAGAGTGTGGCATGGGGACATCTGAGGATAATGATCAGGGTTAACATATACTGGGCTGAAAAGTCAATGGTGCGATAGAGCAGCTCAAAAACCAGATACAGTAATAAATGACATTTATTGAGGGTTTGTTATGAGCCAGACACTGTTATGACTTTATATGTATTATCTCATTAAATACTAAAACTATATAAAATAGAGATCTTATTACCCATTTTTTACAAATACTGGAATTCATAACAGAAGAAATATTGGATTTGCCTCAAGTCACATAGCAAGTTATACCCACGCAGGCAGTAAAAACCAAATGTCTCCTTATTAAACCACTCTGCTATGCAAATGATATGTAAAAATCAATAGTTTTCTCATACGTAAATAATTACTGATCCAAATTGGTAATAGAATAAGAGATTCCATTCAAATCAGTGAAATCTGAAATGCTTTGGAAGAAAACTGATGGGAAATGCACAAGAACTAAGGTGGTGGGGGGAGGATGGGGACTATAATGCTTCACCTGGCAGATGCAAGCTTTCTCTTTGCCCCACCAGACCCACTGTCCCAGCCTTTTATCCTGTTCTGTGTCCCTGGAGGCTGAGCTATATGTGCTTCATCAGTAGCCCCTTGCTCACTGACTTCTGGTTGGGTTTGGCCAATGGGAGGCGGTGGTTGGAAACTGAAGGGCAGGAGGAGGGAGAGCAGAGCTGCCTCCCTCTGGCTCCCTCCGCCTGGCCCTGTGTTGGCTGCAATCCTCTAATGAAGCTCTTGTTCGGTGATGCTCTCCTCCCTGAATTCCAGTAATTGTTCCTTCTCCTTCAGCTTGAGGTCGGAAAGACTCCCCTCTGAAGTGCTGCATCATCCTTTCTTACTTCCTTAAATCCTGTCCAAATATATAAATAGTCACTTTGCTGAACTCATCAATTTCTCACTTTAACACGCCGTCTGTTTCCTGGCAGGACCCTGCCCAGACACAAAGACATAAATAAATGAAGACAAATAATTGTTGTTGGGGCTACAGGCCACAACATTGTAAAAATAGAAATGTTGCTTAAATTGATTTGTAAATGATGTGTGATCCCAATCAAATACCAATAGGATTTCATGCGATACTTGCCAGACTGATTCTAAACCTGGGTGCATTTTGGAAATCAGCTGGGTCTTTTTGTTTATCACAAAGATTGGAGTTACATTATCAACAAATATCATCTCCTTTCATATAACAAAGGGCACATTACCAAATATTTGTTATAAAAGTGAGGTGTTGGGTCTGACTGGGGTAAGACCACATGTGAGAATAGCCAGATAATTTCTGAATGAAAATAAAAGGGGAGGATTTCTCTTCCATATCTGTAAATGCATTATAATGCTGTATTGCCTCCAATGGCATAATACCAGTGCATCAATGAAACAGAGAAGAGAGCAGAAATAAGTAAAAGCACATATGGGTGTTTATAAAGTCACATCAATGGCAAAATGGATTATTGGGCAACTGGCTTGGAGTTTTAAAAAAATCAAGCTATTGTCCAACCTCATTTGTTTGTTTATTTATTTATTTATTTATTTATTTATTTATTTATTTATTGAGACGCAGTCTCACTCTGTCACCCAGGCTGGAGTGCAGTGGCACAGTCTCTGCTCACTGCAACTTCCGCCTGCCAGGTTCAAGCGATTCTCCTGCCTCAGCCTTCTGAGTAGCTGGGATTACAGGCACCTGCCACCAAGCCCAGCTAATTTTTTTGTGTTTTCAGTAGAGACGGGATTTCACTACATTGGCCAGGCTGGTTTTGAACTCCTGACCTCGTGATCCACCCATCTCAGCCTCCTAAAGTGCTGGAATTACAGGCATGAGCCACCGCGCTGGCCAAACCTCATTTCTTGTATCAAAATAAATTTCGTGTAGTTCAAAAATTTAAATGTAAGACATTGAACTTAAAAGTATTGAAAGAAACTATAGGTCAATATTTTCTCTAATCTTGAAGTAGAAAAGTAGTGCTAAGTATGACGATAACAGCAAACAAGCAAGGAACCAACAGCAACAACCCCAGAGTCTTAAAGAAAACGTTGAAAATTTGACTACATAAAAATATACCATTTATCTTTAAAGTGAGGGATGAGGCTGTATGATCAATAAAGACACATCCAGGTTTTATATGGTAAGATCCCAAGAGATTATGATATTATGAATTTAGCATATATAGTTTGCTTTCTTGCATGGTTATTTATGGTTGTTTGTTTGTTTGTTTGGGGACGGAGTCTCGCTCTGTCCCCAGGCTGGAGTGTAGTGGTGTAATCTCAGCTCATTGCGACCTCCACCTCCCGGGTTCAAGCAATTCTCATGCCTCAGCCTCCTGAGTAACTGGGACTACGGGTGCACACCACCACACTTAGCTGAGTTTTGTATTTTTAGTAGAGACGGGGTTTCACCATGTTGGCTAGGCTGTTCTCGAACTCCTGACCCCAGGTTATCCACCCACCTAGGCCTCCCAAAGTGCTGGGATTACAGACACAAGCCCCACCACACCCGGCCTGATTATTTATGTTTCGTTCATATCTCCTAGTTCCCCCAATGATATCACAGACTCCTTGAGTTAAGAATGTGTTGTCCTCAGCATCCATTCTAGGTACTTAAGAGATCACTCTTTATGATGATGAAAATGAAAGTGATCATGAAAATAAGAACAATTCAATTAATTAGGCCAATTTTCAGAGGTAGATCATTAGGCAGATTAATTGATTGAAGCGACCAGTCATCTAATTATAGTCACTAGCTGGTTGAATTTACTAGGAGTTTAATCAAGTACAACTTGTCTAGTAGTCAAGCATCAATAAAGCCTATGTTTTCTTATTCAAAAGATACCAAGTTCTTCTTAACTCAGTATGGTGGATTCAATAGCTGAGTGGTAATTGGTTTTCTAATAACTGATATTATATCATTCTACTTGAATTCATTTATATTAATATACTAGTTTTTAAAAGAAAATCTTTTTTCTTCCCAACTTTTTTACTTAAAAAAATTTCAGATATATCGAAAAGTTGAAAGAATTGCACAATGCAGCCTGTATAGCTGCCTGAATTCAACAATTGTTGATAGTGAGCTACATTGGTTTTACTTTTTTGTATGTGTATATAATGTATTTATTTCCTTAATCATTAAAATGTTGCAGACAACATGACATTTTAACCTAAACACTTAAGCCTGTATCTTCTGAGATAAAGATGACACCTAAGAGGATTAATAATTTGTAATATTGGCCAATCTGGCAAGGTGGCTGAATAGGAACAGCTCCGGTCTCCAGTTCCCAGCGAGACCAACAGAGAAAGCAGGTGATTTCTGCATTTCCAACTGAGGTACCAAGTTCATCTCATTGGGACTGGTTAGGCAGTGGGTACAGCCCACGGAGGGTGAGCAGAAGCAAGGTGGAGCATCACCTCACCTGGAAAGTACAAGGAGCCAAGAGACCTCCCTCCCCTAGCCAAGGGAAGCCATGAGGGACTGCGCGACCCAGCCTGGCTACTACGTTTTCCCCATGGTTTTTGCAATCACAGATCAGGAAATTCCCTCATGTGCCTACACCACCAGGGCCCTGGGTTTCAAGCACAAAACTGGGTGGCTGTTCGGGCAGACACCGAGCTAGCTGCAGGAGTTACTTTTTGTACCCGAGTGGCACCTGGAACTCCAGCAAGACAGAACCTTTCACTCCCCTGGAAGCCAGGGAGCCAAGCGGTTTGGCTCAGTGGGTCCCACTCCTACAGAGCCCAGCAGGCAAAGAGCCACTGGCTTGAAATTCTCACTGCCCACATAGCACTCTGAAGTGAACCTGGGACAATCGAGCTTGGTTGGGGGAGGGGCATCTGCCATTACTGAGGCTTTGATAGGCGGTTTTCCCCTGACAGTGCTAAGGAGGACGGGAGGTTCAGACTGGTCAGAATTCACCACAGCACAGCAAAGCGGCTGTGGTCAGACTGCTTCTCTAGATTCCTCCTCACTGGGCAGAACATCTCTGAAAGAAAGGCAGCAGCCCCAGTCAGGGGCTTACAGATAAAATTCCCATCTCCCTGGGACAGGGCACCTGGGGGAAAAGGCAGCTGTGGGTGCAGCTTCAGCAGACTTAAACTTTCCTGCCTGCCTGCTCTGAAAAGAGAGCTGATCCTGACGTGGAGGATTCTCCCCCAGCACAGCACTTGAGCTCTGCTAAGGGACAGACTGCCTCCTCAAGTGGGTCTCTGACTCCCGTGACTCCTGATTGGGAGAGATCTCCCAACAGAGGTCAACAGACACCTCATACAGGAGAGCTCCAGTTGGCATCAGGCCAGTGCCCCTCTGGGACAAAGCTTCCAGAGGAAGGAGCAGGCATCAATCTTTGCTGTTCTGCAGCCTCCACTGGTGATACCCAGGCAAACAGGGTCTGGAGTAGACCTCCAGCAAACTGCAGCAGACCTGCAGAAGAGGGACCTATTAGAAGAAAAACTAACAGAAAGCAGTAACATCAACATCAACATAAAGTACCCCCACACAAAAACCCCATCCAAAGGTCATCAGTCACAAAAATCAAAGGTAGAT